CATAAAATGGTCTTACTTTGGGAAGGGGGCGAGAAATGTGAAGCTAACATGCAACACTACCACAACGTCTGCTTGCTACATGTTCATGCTACAATACCGGAACAGGACCAGAGGATTTCAATCCTGCATCGACCATGTGTGGCCTCCTCTGATTTAAATGAGCAAATTATTTCTGTAACAGAATATTAGCTGCAACTTTAGAGTACAGTAGGAATGCAGTATCCGCGGGGGAATTGGTTCCAAGCCCCCTTCTGCAGATGCTGAAAAGCACGGAAATATCAAACTACATACACTGCACAGTCTCCGGCTCCTTCTAGTGACCAGTTCTGCTAAATACACCCTGGAAAATACATATAAATACATATTTCTGGGGTTTTTAATTTAGTATTTTCAGGCAGTGGATAAATGAATCAGCGAATACTGATCCTGTGGATAGGGGTCCCACTATACATTGACTTTCACCACAAACCATAAAGAGTGGCTTATGGACTATGGATGGGGACACTAGAGTGGAGCAGTAGGCAACTGCACTACAGTACTGTAATGTAGCCTCTAGCTGCTGCCAGGCTCTTGGAAAGAGTGGCTTGCCCCAGGCCTTTCACAGGGAGGTGCTGCACAAACATGAAGTGAGCAATACATGAACTCGAGAGAAGAAAAAGAGTGTGTTGAAGGGAGTCGGGGGGACATGAAGGTATTCTATGGCTCTCTGTTGAAAAAGAGATTTAATGCATAGAGAACGCTGGACCCATTCTACAAGTACCTTCTCTGTGTTCAGTCCAGATACTGTACATGACTTATTTTTTGGTCCAGACACTGAACAGGAACTCTGCAAATGTCAAGCAGAAGCTGGCTGTGTGCAATCCTGATTTCTGCATGCCCAAAATAGTTTTGGACTTTAAAAACAAATCTCCCTTAACAAGTAATAATAGAAGGCCAATGATAAATGAAGGGATAAATACATGGAGATTCAGATGGGCAGTTGTAGACTCTGGAGAGCTTCACTGGAGGTATTGGGAAAGGTGTAAAACTGATCCATGAGCCAGTACAGTACCAATTTGCTGCTATGTATCTGTTATCATTCCAGAGACTAAATCAAGGTGCCGTTAGCTGGTTTTCCCTATGGCATCCTCTCTGAGAAACTCAAATTTATATGTGTGTGTGATCTCTGGAGAGTACATTGAGACCCCCCCACACACACACAGTCAAAATGCTTGACTGTGGGACGGCCTCTTAATATCCTGCCTGTTTACTGAGGTGAGCACAGTGCATTTTGGGTACAGAAGAGAAATAGCAGTTGTGGATTGAAATCTCTAGCTAGTGTTAAATGGTTAACAGGAAGTATTGGGAGCACCTCAGAAAGGCAATAAAAGAGTTCCAGACAGATTCCAGGAAGAAAGCTGTTCCACCCCACTTATATGCAACACTGGCTACTTTTCTTTAAATGGACACTAATTCCAGAATTAGTACCAAGAGAGAAGAAAATGAGAGAGATGAATGCATTGTTGTGGCTTTCAGTGTTGCCAAGGGCTTGCTGAAATATAACTGATTTCTAACAAGAGATTTATGAAGAGCCATCAAATATTCAAGTATAATTTGGCTAGAGTCTGTCTTCAGTAGAACAGTGTCCTCCAGCCCAGTGTCTGTTTTCCTCAGCTAGCATGGCTCCCCAGAGGTCACCCAGTAAGACAAAGCCAATGTTCTGTTTAGAACAGAGTTGGAACCTATGGTCACTCTGGTGCTGGACTACAATGCTCATCATCTCAAAGAGTTAACAGTGCTGGCTGGGGTTCATCCATGACAGAGTTCAACACAGCATATTTCAAAGAATTCGTGATGTCACATTCTTCCTTTGATTTCAAAAAGGGAAAGCTCTCTAATATGTGGGAAGTGGTAAAACGTAGGTTGAAAACCTAGGTCAAGAGTGTCAAATGTCTCCAGAATCCTTCGGATTGCTTAAAACCATAGTCAAAGAAGACCAGATAAAAATTTATATCATAGGTCAGGAAAGGGAGCAGAAAATTTGCTAGTCCACCAGAGTGATTAATGAACAGTGTCAAGGAAGTGGTAGCTACAGTCAATGGGTGGGGAAAGTTTGACACTAGAAGTCTTGCCCAAATGAAGAGAATGAAAACAAACCTAAGCCACACACACACACACATATATATGGGAAGCAGAAAACTGACTAGAAATGCAATTGGAACACTGAATGACAATGGAATTGGAGGAATACCAAAGGTGAGCAATATTTAGAGAGGTAGCCATGTCTCTTTCAGTAAGAGCAAAATAAAAACACAGCAGCATTGTTAAGACTAACAAACTTATTTCAGCTTTTGTCCTAGAACGGCAACACTTTCCCTTTGGTTCTCATTTGTAAAGGAGGTTAAGGAAATTAAGGAAAAGTAAATCTCAATGAATGGGTTCTTTGTACCTCTCTTCAGTACAGATGATCTAGTGCACACAGTAATCACTGAACTGACACGTCCAGGAACGAAGTAGGAGGAATTAAGGCAAATAGCAGAGACAAGAAATGAAGTTGTGGTCTTTATCGACAAATTGGTGACAAATCAGTCACCAGGTCTAGCCAGCATTTATCTGACAGTTCTGAAGGAAGTGAAATAGGAAATTGCTGATCTTGTATCAAAAATATGTAGCAGTTCCTTAAGATCAAGTAAAGAGGATTGCAGTGAGCAATATAATGTCAATTTCTGAAGAGGAATGGAGTGTGAGGAGAAAAGTACAAACCAGTTAGTTTAGTCATCTAGATAAAGTGGTAGACAATATTAATAAATGATCGAGCATGTAGAAGGACAAGTCTTGTTAAAGAAGACAATGTGGGTTCTGCAAAGTAAATCCAGTCTCGCTTATCTTTCAAAGTTCTTTGAGGGATATGAACATCTATAAGATTCTCTTATAGACTGGAGAGGTTGAGGCATTGAAAGAACAGGAGAAATCGACGTTCAGGAATGGAGAGCTATAAGTAGTGCTCCTCCAGTCAAAAAATGGAATAAGGACTAGCGCTTTTTAACCTTACAGGATCTGGAGTAAGGTGTGAGCAGGAGAAATGGCCCAGTTGACTAATGGCAAATTATTTAGTTTAAAAAAGAGAGGGAAACTGCCATGAAAGAGAAAGAAGAAGAGGAAGAGGAAGGAAGGGAAGAAAGAAAGAAAATCCTTCCAAACTGAGGACATGAACATGTTCAATTTAATATAAGCACATTCACATTGGGGCAACTCCATCCCCTTCACCTTTACAAAGACACTGACTGGCTATCACCTGGCAGTGACGGACCGAGAAAGAGACCCTTGGGTTGTGATGGATAGTTGAATGAAAATGTCAACCAAAAACTTCAGCCACAACGCAATACATAATATTGCATTGTGTCAACATGATAATGCAAAAACTTCAGCCACAACGCAATACATAATACTGTATTGCATTGTGTCAACATGATAATGTGTGGCTACTGTAAAAAGGCAAATCCTATGTTAGGCATACTGAGGAAAGGAATTTAAAATATCTCTGCCAATATCATAGTGCCTATATACAGACCTATCATGCACTCAGATGGACATAATGTGTTCATTTCTGATCATCATGGGATAAGAGGGATACTGTGGAGTCGGTGGGGCGACCAGAATAATCAGGAGGTTAACACAAATGTGGAAGGATTACAAAGTAGAGTAATGTTTAGCTGAGAAGCAAATTGAGATATTACAGATGTGTATGCAAACATTTAGGCACGGTAAGAAGAAACAAGTAATGCTGTACTGCTAGAAAAATTCTATAAACCAGGGCAGATTGAGGATAAAGCAAAAGAAGGACTTATTTACACACCTCACAACTGGACTATAGGATTTGTTACCACAATACGCAATGATGATCACTAACAGACAGAGGAGCATATTTATAAAGTTTAAGGATGGTTTTTGATGGCTACTATTTTTGGTGGCTATAGATAAAAACCTGTGCCAGAGACTGTGAGTGGCTCTATGCCAGCTGCTGGGGAACATGAGCAGAAGGGCAGTATTATATATACGGTGGTCATTCAGATGTCTATGGGAAACTCTCAAACAGGACATATATATATGTCCTGTTTGACAGTTTTATATATATATGTCCCATAGACATCTGAATGACCACTGTATGAACAGAACACTGAACTAGATGGGGCTTATTTAGTCTGATCCAGCATTGCTCACCTTGACGTTCTTATGATCCAGACTAGAGATGGGGACGAATATAAAAACAGATTGGCTTTTTTGACAAAAATAGCCAATTCGTTAAATATTCATCGATCCGCATTCATGAAATTTTAAGTCCTGACAAATACAGATCAATGAATATTTTCCCGTTTTTATTCATCCTTTGCAATAATAATAATAATAANNNNATCCGCATTCATGAAATTTTAAGTCCTGACAAATACAGATCAATGAATATTTTCCCGTTTTTAGTCAACCTTTGTAATAATAATAATAATAATAATAATAATAATAATAATAATAATAATAATAATAATACCAATCTGCCTACTGGCTGCAGATCAGCTGATCAGTGAGCTGACAGGCAGCCACCCACACCCACACCCTGCCACCCAACCCTTCCTCTCCCTACCTTAACCCCCCCTACCCCCGCCAACACCACCTTACTGTAATCGGTATTGCCACTCCCAAGGCGGTGCGGCAGTGGGGGGTTGGCAACAGGGGTGGTGCCGGTGGCGGTGGGGAGACAGGGTTTTTTTTAAAATAACTGCCCACAAATTGAAAAATAACTTTGTTATTTGTCACTTCATGGGGGCAACTTTGTGCTCCATGAGTCATTAGCTTTTGACGACTCATAAAGCGGGACGACTTGCCAAAATGGTGAGTCATCTCCATTTCTAATCCAGACCACAGGTTGATAACCTGGTGTCCATGCACCTCCCTCTGGTCATTTTGCATTCTTCCTAACATAATCCAATTTCCAGCAGTGGTGGAAGCCAAATTCCACAGGGGTGTTTTTTTGTGTGTGTATGTGTCTGTGTGTGCACATGTGTTTTAAAGATTTGCCATCCTAGAATTACAATATGGCAGTGTGGATATAAAATGTGCCCTACCCAGCAAAATGAGCATGTCTGCTTTAAATCAAGGTCTACCCACTTCAACAAGGACTGTGGGAGGTGTAGTTCTGGGAGGAGGTAGTATCTCTGAGCAAAGAATTCTCAGCATCTCGCAGGGGTGGGAGTGGGGAGGCAGCCGTAGTAGCTAAAGTGGGATGAAAGAAATAAAGATTAGCAGTGTCGAATTATCCTCCAAGCCACACTCTTTTCAGATGAACTTGCTCTCTGGGGGACTAACCTTTGCTCTTCTGTACGCTGGCAGTATCATGAAAAATGTAAACATGTGGTCTTATCAGTGCTTAAGAAAATTCACAAGGAACTATCTGTTGAAACAAACTCACTTTAAAAAAAGCACAACAGCGCTGTAAACCTTTTGTTCATCAGAAACTAGACCTCCTATCTCTGCTGCTGTTGCGTTAAACTCAGCCTCAATGCCCTACAGTTTAAATACAAAAAAACCCCCACACTGCTCTACATACAGCTACACCACGAGAAACTGTCCAGGATGCCAGGTGAAGGGAAGGGGAAGAGGCAGTGTAGCAAAGTCCTTCAAGATCTTATAGGTGGGACACAGGAGCCAGCATTCAAATGCCTCACTAGGCTGTGGGGCTTGATTTGCCTTGCAAGGGTCCAAAGAGTTTGTCCAGAGAGGCGGCTAGGTCTTGCTTCTCCATCCTGTTCTCTCTTCCCAAGCCCAGCATGATGTACAGGTGGCGAAAGAGCCAAGATTGCCCCCAGGGTCAGGAAGTGAAGTAGGAGTTTTGCATGGAATACAGCCGGTCAATGGGGTTGCCCACTCGGGTTTGCAGGAGGTTGGCTTCTGCGGCTGACAACAGGCAGTCCCCCAAATGACCGATGGTGTCGCTGTCCATGTCGTGGAAGACGCCTTCCGAATCTGAGTTAATGGGCGAGGGAGAGAGAAAGAGAAGAAAGAAAAAAAAAAAGAGAGAGAGAGAATCAAAATTGCTTAGAAAGGGCAAAACGTTCACTCCAAAGTAGGTCAACCTCCTCTCATCCTGGGGAAGGAAACATGGGGCAAAATTGGGAATTTTGTCCAATTGTCGTGGTGGGTCTTTGGACACCACAGTAGATGTGCCAAACTATATGCTATGGATCGTCCATCCTCAGAGCTACAGTCATGCTCAGGGTTCAAGAGGCATGATTTACGCTGTCTCTCATGTCTGAGACATTCAGAAACACTCCGAAAACATACACCTTACCTGCAGTGGGACGGTTCATTCTAGCAGTGTTGTATTTCATTGCCCCATGTAACAAATGCATCCAAAGCACATTCAGGTCATTCACTACCTATGAGTTAAGCCTGTGTCTTCCACCATGACTTTGTGCATGCACGTGGGAGGTCTGAAGAGGACCCCCTGTAGGCTCCCCATGTCAGCCAGAAATGTGACTTCCCTATGTTCTGGTTTGCAGGTAGAGGCTTCACACAGATTGACAAGCCTTTCCGCTTCGGATGTGCCATTTCCCAGGGGCAAAGCTGGCTTGCACTCCTTCCTCATGTGTTTAGCTCACCTGAACGCTGGAAGGCTGAATCAGGCTGTAGAGTAGACTTTATATGACTTGAGAGCAAGTGAGATTGTTTGTGGAGTGGTTCAAAGCAAGCTTGTTTCTCCAGCAGCAGCAACACAATTTCCTCGCTTGCTTCTTCTTGAAATAATATGAATCTCAAATGGTCAGGTTGTGCCTGTTCTTATTCCTCCCCACATCCCAACTGCTGGTTTACACTGTGACCAAAACCCCCAACACAATCATCTCATCTGAGTTGCCGGGAAAAAAACATTATTGCTGAGGGTTTTTTTTTAAACCTTCCTCTGCAGAACTTGGAAAGGTTACTGTACTGTATTCTTTTAATACAAACACCAGTGTCCATGGCTGCTGGGAGATTCCAGAAGTTAGAAAGTCCCTTTTGGATTTTCCGTGGAGCAGCTTATTTCTGAAATCAACGAGGTTTGTCCGTTTCATGTACTTTTTCTTCAGACTGTCTGCAAAGGGCTAAGGAAGCCTTATCAATTCTACTACTGCTTTTCTCAAAAAACAAGGTCCTTCTAAAGTGTGCACATCAACTTCAAAGTGCACAGAATTGTTTTAATTCAGATAAGGTGCAGGGTTGCTGCTGTTGGAGTAGGACAGCACTGCCTTCCCCTTGGCAGGGAGACCAAATAATACACCTTCCCCACTGACTAAAGGGCTACCTTTACTAGGGGCATTATGTCCTGTCAAGTTGCTTCCTTAATAGTATTTTCCTGTTATATGAGACATTTGTGGTTTACGAGTTCGATTCCCACACTGTGCCTCCTCGACGGGGGCTGAACTCAGTGATCCATAGGGTCCCTTCCACCTCTGCAGTTCTAATTGTTATTGCTATTGTTATTTAAAATGAATCAAATTATAAAAGCATTGGCCGGTATTATATAATTATATTATTATTATATATTTATATAATACCATTGACTGGGATGATGATGATGATGATGATGATGATGATGATGATGATGATGATGATGATGATAGAAGAAGAAGAATTGTTGCCAGCCCTTCATGAGTTTCCATGGCCAACCAGGGATTTGAATCCAGATCTCCCAAATGGTGTAGTGCATAGAGCAACAGACTAGGACCCAAGAGACTTGGGTTTGAATTGCTCTCACCCATGGAAACTCATGGGAGGACACCGGTAAAACTATTCCTTATTATCTACAGTAACCTTGAAAACACTGTTAGGATTGCTATAATGCAACTTGATGGCATGTAATACACCTTCCTGAGTCCTATTCTGATGCTCTACCTACCACATCACACACTGCACACACAGCTCTAGTACAGTACCAACCAAAAACAACTGCTTGTTGATGTTGTCATCTGTCATCAATCTAGCATTATTCTCTTCCATCGGGATGAACGGAACACTGACCCCACTGCTCCCCTAACACTCCTCTCTCCCATTATCTTTGAGCCTTGCATGAAGGTTTTGCCAGGTAGTCTCTGTATTCTATGCCTGATAAAGTAGAGAAGTTCCACGAAAAATATACAGTGGACCCTCGACTTATGGAATTAATCCGTATTGGAACGGTGGCTGCAGGTCGAAAAGTCTGTAGGTTGAGGCGCCATTGACCTACAATGCATTGAAAACCAATTAATCTGTAACCGCCCATTTTTGTTCCATTTTGGTTATTTTCCCGGTCTGCAGGTCGATTCTCCGGCTGCAAGTCAAACCTAAATTTTGCGGCCAGAGAAGTCTGTCACTCGAAAAGTCGAGCCGCCTGTAAGTCGAGGGTCCACTGTAGCAGTGAGTCTTGCAGGTGCCACAGTGTCTTTTGTTTGCTTGTTTGTTTTGCTTTTGTTTTGTGTTTCTTGTTGAAATGCTTGCACAGACGAACCGGGACTCCCCCTTCTAAAAGAAGACCTGTCCCTGTCTGGGAGGCTTCTTGGAGTCATTGAGGAATACAACTTGGCATGAAAACAAAAGGTTGAATGTGAAACTGAGGGGCTGCAGCTGCTGCGTCACAGAGCCACACACTGGCCGGTTGCAAACACAGTAAAGAGGACACGAACAGTCTGTGGGCCGCGTGTCAGTCATCCCTGCCCTATAAAGACCTCACAGAATGGTAATTCAGGACATGGGTATTTGAAAAGAGAACTAGAATGGCATAGCTTAAGCGAAGGTCTGCAGGGAAAACGAGTTTTGGTGAAAAGGGACTCACCATAGGGGTGGAGATGATCTCCGGGCAACTGGGGCGGTGTGAGCCCTTGCCGGTACAGGTCTGTGCTATAGCTGTTCTGATCCAGGGGAAGCAGCTGCTGCTGAGCAATTCTGGAGTAGGGCACCATGAGGCCATCGATCCCATGCACACTGGCGCCATCTGTTGATCAATGGGGGAATCAGTGGGGGGAAGAAAGGGAAAGGAAGCATATATCAACAGATGCTTTCTATTTAGTATTTTTAAAAAGGTTTAACCATCTACTTTTCTTTCTTACAACCTGACTCTCACTTCCTTTCTAAAGCAAGTGGTACCTTTGCAGCAGATTTGGGCGAAAGGCAGACACGGGAAAATATGGGTGATGGCTCAATAAATGCTGCTCTAGGTTAGCACTGGGTTGTTGTTGTTGCTGTTTAGTCGTTAAGTTGTGTCCGACTCTTCGTGACCCCATGGACCAGAGCATGCCAGGCCCTCCTGTCTTCCATTGCCTCCCGGAGTTATTCTTCTGCTCTCCCAGCCCCCCAAGCAAGGAGAAAAATCCCAGGGTAAATGGTGCTGGACAAAGGGGTAGATTGATCTCCTTATGTGAGGTGGCTTTGAAAGCTTGGAAATCCATCCCCAGATGATGCCAGAGCTTGGGTTTGGAATCACAGCATCCCAAGAAGCCAGGAGCAAGGGGAGGGGACTGGGGAGAGAGCAGCAGTTCCATGCCCTTGGCCCCACTGTGCCATTTGGAGCAAAGCAGGGAGCGGAGCACCAGCGCTATAACTTAGGAGCCTTCTTGGCACATGTAACCCTGACAGTGGTGTCATGAGGCCTAGAAAAACTCCCCATGAGCTAGCAGTGAGCCTTCCCCAAACACCAATAGCAGCAGAGGACCTTGGAAAAAAAACTCCTCAAGTGTGTATTTTAAGTTAGGCTGAGGGCGGGTGGACTTTGAGCTCCTGCAGGAATGGTAGCAATGGCTCCAGATCAGCTCATTTAGCTGCCTACGTAGCCACCAAAAATATTTCCCAGTTGGCTCCTCTTGTTACATTACCTACGTAGGAGAGTTTTACCTGATTCGTTTATCTGGACTTCTCTTGTGCCTGTTTCCACAACCAAGAGGCCAGAAACAGTTGCCCCTTGCTTATCCTAAAAATAATCATGTCAAGTCAATTCTGACTGATGGTGACCCTTTCCAGGGTTTTCTACATAGAGAGTACTCAGAAGTGGTTCACAGTTCCTTTCTTCTGCGGGCAACCTGGGACTGTGGTTGGCTCTACTCACAATAGGTGCCGTGAGGATTTGAACTCCCAACCTCTAGACCACTGAGCTATCCAGCCACCTTTGCTTATCCTACCTTGGTGTTATTGCAAAGCTTCTACTTTCTGTGCTTTGCTCTGCAGTCTTGGGGAACTCGATACTGCTGATCCAGCAGCTCTAAGAAAGACACCTCTTAATAATTTCAAATTCATTTCTCTTTATTTCTGAACAAGTTTCCAGCCCTCATGGCTCCACATCAAAGTGTGACAGGGGGAGCTTGGAGATGGCCGATCGCTCAGAAGAGTTATGCTAGGACATACATAAAGTTAGCTTTAACTGATGTGATTGACATGACTTCCCCAGGGAATTTGGAGAAGAATAACGCTCTTTCTTCCATATACAGTAATCAGTCTTGTCATAACCCTGTGCAGGTCCCAGACGTCCTTGCAGCAAGGAGAGAAAGCAATTGAGTAGTAAAAGTTTACCTGTCTGGCTCAGCCAAAGTAACCCTACTCCTTGCTCTTATACATCATAGCCTTTTCATAAATACTACTAACAGTCAAATTAAAATACAGTAGTCTGGTGCTAGAAGCCACAGCTACCGGCTCTGTTGTCTGGGAAATTCTGGGAGTTCTAGTGCAAAAAGTAACATTTCCAGGCTTTGAATAAGAGATGGTAAGTAACACACCACTGAGCTTTTCCATATAGAAAATTAATGATTGGCAGGGAAAGTGCCTTTAGACTCAAACATCAGATTCCAGATTAGGAAAAGCTATTTCAAATGAAAGAATCTGACACTTCTTGTGTAAACTAAGTGGCAAAAGGCCTCCTTGAAATCCGTTCATTGATGTGAACCATGTAGAAGGCAGGTCCATGTTCTTTAGAAACTCAAAGCATCATGACAAAGGAGGAGGAGGTTTTCAGAGCCAAGGCTGTAGTGTTTTAATTGTTTTAGTTTTGCTGGGGAAAGTATCATTCAGGTGAGACAGAATGAACCCTTCACAACTCGCTCATTCCCACCTGGGATGGAATCCCAGATCTTACCAAACTTTAGATCAACCTAAACCAGCCAAATGAAGTGGTAGAAGAGACGGTATCCTTCCAAGGTGCCCCATGTGCCTCGGTTAAATGAAAAGTTCTCACCATAAGAGTATGAAAAATAAAAGTAGATGCTGGGCTTGAACCTTTCTCTTTCTTACACTAGTTTTCTTCTTGCCGAACATTACAGGAGAATAGCAAACTCTCCCATCTCATTCTGTAGCATGTACAGATCAGGTCAAACAACACTCCTGATTCTTAAGTTCTACTGGCTGCTGTGTCTTGTGTCTCTCTTGTTCCTGTGCATGGCAGGCAGGAACTCAACAAATGAAGACTTTCCATGACTCCATACAGGGGAAATCTCATCTCTTCCTCTCTCCTTCAAGATAACAGGAGCTCTGTTAGAAAAGAGCACCCTTCTGTGCGCAGCAGCCCCCTCAGTCACAACGAGAGCAGCTCAAGGATTTTGTTCAGTCCTTATTTCGAGGGGGAACAGCTTGCCTCTCCACTCTCAGATTCATGGAATCAATCAAAACAAAGTTCTCTTTGCAATTTTTGTGCTAACAGCACATTTTCATTCTGAAATGCGTTTGGAAAATAAAACGAAAATGGCAGGTTTTGACTCTAACCCGTGTTTAAAATGCATACCTGGAGAGAAAGGGCCTTTAGAACACAGCTTAGAAAAATTGCCTATCAGGACTACAGCTTCCAGAATCTGCAGTTCAAAAACATCCAAGTAACAAAGTTTAAGAACCACTGATCCAGACTACAGCTTCCAGAATCCCCATGCCACATTGGCTAGCGGAGCCTGGGCGTTGTAGTCCCCCAGATATTATGTCTCCAAGCTGCATTTAGAAAGGCCCATTTTCTAATGAAATGTGTTCAAAAACATGTGTTAAAAGATTAATTTTCAGGCAGCTTTCCGGGACACTCCCAAAAGGCAATCGACTGGTGTTAGAATGGAACAGAGTAAGCTTCTGCAACAAACACCGATGAAGCCCAGTTGGGCTACGTAAGAGATCCATTGGCCCATCTCAAATCCTGGGCCAGTCAAGGGCCCTTGAGGGGTGGCTTACCTTCACTGTCTTCATTGCTCTGTCGGCTGCTCCGGCCATTCCCCCTCCCTGTCCCCAGGCGGGAGTTTCCCAGCTGTTCTTGCTCTTGCTGCTGTTGCTGCTGCTGCTGCTGCCTGCGGGCGATCTTCTTCATCTGTAAGGAGGAGGACGGATGCTCCTGGGCAGGGGTGCAACAAAAGGGGGAAGGGAGGACAGAATCCCCCTCCTAAATTGGGGTGAGGGGGATCCCCGCCTCCCCTTGCCTTGCAAAGACGCTTTCCTCCTGCTACGTGGCTCTCACCACCTCCTCCACTACAGTGACTAAGGCTGCCAGCTGACCAGAGAAAGACTCTCCAGGCATTGCTCTTGTGCTGCGGACGGTAGGGTTCAAGCTGAAAAAACCAGTTGGTGGTTTATTTGATTGGATTTTGTGGCCTTGGCTGCCAGATGGGCGGTAGAGAAATCAAATAAAAGTATAGACGTTTGTAAGTTGCTGTGAGAGTTCCAGCTGAATAACAGCTTATATGGAGCATCAGTAACCAAAAAAAGTGAAGTTTATACTCTCTGTGTATGAATGTATGTATGAAACGTTCTTTTCTTGTACTTCATGTAGCTCAGATCACTGCTAAAAGCATAGCCATGTCCATTGAGTACTGTCAAGTCCCTTCCAATTTATGGTGATCCTATATTTCTGAGATACAGTACATGAGATATATAAGGAGTGGGTTTTACTACTACTACTACTACTACTACTACTACTACTACTACTACTACTACTACTACACCCAGATAGGTTCCATGGCTAAGCAGGAGTAGTCCTTCATCCTATCCACCGCATCACACTGGCTCTCTACAAGGCTTAGCCATAGAAATCGACATAAAGTCGGCACCTCACCCTCAAACTGCACTCCACTTGAGAAGACTCAGACTATGGAAAAGAGTTAACACTTCCATTTTTCTACAGTTTCTGCATCCTTAAAGCAGGGAAAGGTTGGAGACTAAGGAAGATACAATAGCACTCTTCAAATACTTGAAAGATTGTTATACAGAGAAGGTGCAGGATCTGTTCCCGATCATCCCAAAGTGCAGGACATATAATAATGGGCTCAAGTTAAAGGAAGCCAGATTTCGGTTGAATATCAGAAAAAACATCCAAACTGTTAGAGCAGTATGACAGTAGAACCAGTTACCTCAGGAGCTGGTGAGGGCTCCAACACTGGAGACATTCAAGAAAAACTTGGATAATCACCTGGCAAATATGCTTTGATTGTATTCCTGCACTGAGCAGGGGGCTGGACTTGATAGCCTTACAGGCCCCTTCCAACTTCACTTTCCTGTGATTCTATAAGTTTATGTTCATTTGAATGAAAAGGTGATGTGAAATTTTTTTTGTTCATGTTATGAATTATATGTACCTTTCCTATGATACCCAGTGTTTCTGGTTTATAGTAGCTAGGTAGCTGAATTCAGCTTAAAGCAACCCTGAGGAATGGTTGAGCTTATATGATCTTCTACTTCTATCTTATCACTTATCTCTTCACAGCTTACTGCATTTTTATTGTTGGATACTTGAGCACTACATTTAGGAAAGCAGAAGATATGTTTGAAAAAGCACACCAGCAACTTTGCTGTAAATGTCCCAGATACAAAACAAAACAAAAACCAACAGAACTTGTTCACAGGATTTTTTTTTCACATATAAACTATTTTCTGTAGAATTATTGGATTTGTGTGTCTGTTCATAGAGACAACTTAACTGGCAAGATGTTTTATAGGATTTTGCTAAATTTTTCAAAATGTTTTCATACCAGTCATGGAAGGTACCTAAGATGATGATGATGATAAAAAGGTGAATGTTGGATAAACCAAAACTAGGAAATACATCCATCTGTGCCCCGAGATTTGAGTGCTTAGGCCTGTTGAACCTTGTAAAGAATTGCCAACTCCTGCCCTCTGAAAGATAGCTAATCTTTAATAGCTATATAAGCAGGCATGTACATTACGGTCCTCATGGCAGGAGTTGATGTCCCTATCAAACTGGCCAATGCTAACGGAGGGAGTTGAGACTTCATTTCAGTTCATTTCTGACAAATATAGATGGCCGATGACAAATGCAAAGTTCACAACTCACTTCTAATCGCAACTGGCAGGTTTTCCCATATCTGTGTGGAAAACCTGTAACACAACCAGATGTTGCTAGACTCCAGTTCATGTTACCCCCCACAAGCTGGTAAGAGAATTATGAGAATTGTAGTCTAAAAGATTTGAGAAGCAGAAGTTTGCTTATCCCTGATCTGGTGCGATATCAGGATAATGGGACAATACACCTTTGTGAGACGGGGGAATTCCACTTATGATTTTTTTAAAATTTAAAAGGAATCATGGTCAGCCATTTGTTGCATAGCAGGGACTCCATGCTGGGTAGATCAAAAGAGGGCTAGCAGAGTCAAAATGCTTGTTGTTTTTGGCAGCCAGAGATTTGTATGAATAGCTTTAGTAGGCTTTCAACTATGGTTCGCCAGATGTTCTCAGACTACCACTCCCAAAAGCCCTGGACAGCACAGCAAGTGGTGAAGGCTTCTGGGAGTTCTAGTCCAAGAACCCCTGGGGACCCACTGGTCTAGTGACCGCATGCTGGCTGGATAATTCTGGAAGCTGTAGTCTCAAAAAGGAACTTTTCCAAACTCTGCTTTAAGTTGAAGCAACTAGACCTCATTGGATGAATCAGAGATGTCTGCCATGTTTCACTCCTGCCCCAGCTGGAAAGACATAGTCCTGTAAAGGCAAACTTCTGAGGCTATTGCTTACCTTGGCCCTCTGGTTCTGGAACCAGACCTGCACCACCCGGACAGTCAAGCCAGTTTCAGCTGCTAATGTCTCCCTCACCTGCTCACCATGGAGAACAGAAAAAGGGTTGGTTAAAAAGCAAGAAAACCCCCCAACTAAGACATCATTAGACCACCTACCATGTGTCAACACAGTGGCTGAAGATGGCTTTAGAAGTCCTGATAAGCATGGTGAAGAGTTGGCAACTTGGGTAAGGAATAACCATCCTTTGCCCTTCTCACTACTCTTACGGTATCTACCACCCACCATACATTTCTGCTCTATAGACAGGTAGACAACACTTTTGCAAAATGAAACCAGCATGGTGACCCTTTCTACCTGTGGCCTGACATAGATCTTCTTAAGAAAGCGCTTATGGGTAGCAAAACAATGGGAATGCAATACAGTCTAAGCCTTGTGAATGAAGCCAGCCAGCAAGCAAGGGGTACTTGACCTTCCGGCAGGGTTTGGAGGAGACTTCGAAGGAGGCCTTGAATGCTCGCCGCTGCTGCGTGGTGAGGATGGTGCGTGGGCGCTTGGAGCGCTTGTGGTCTTTGCCTTCCTCCCCGCCTTTGCCATGGGGGTGGCTCCCATCCTCGTCCTCACTCTTCACTATAAAGGAAAAACATGTTACTAATGATCCTCTTAACCTGGCATCCTGAACCAGAGATACGGGATTCCTAAAGTGTCTTTGGCTGGTTGGAGAGCTCTGTGGGTTGGAGCACCTGACTGTGGAGCCAGCCTGTGTAGCCCTCAGCAAACTATATGGCCCCAGAAAGTCATCAGAAGAAAGGATGGCTAAAGTACTTCTTAGTCCCGGGAAGAGTGGCCATTAGTCAGGACCAACTCAACATTTGCTAGTTAGCTAGTTAGTTAATTACATTTGCTTGCCAACTCCTCTTCAGAAACCCAGCAGCCCTGGGGGAGAGGGGGGTAATGCTTAAAACAGTATTTGTTCCATGGCAGATCCAAATGCAACATTTCTCATGATTCCTCAGTATTAGCTCTCCTAGCTAGGGCTGACAGGGACTGCAGTACTACTACAACAACAGCAGTCCTCACTCCCAAAGATAAATTAAAGGGGAGACTAAGAGACAGTGGGAGTTTTGTTGGAGTGTTTACAACCTCGCATGCTGCCTAGAGAAGGTGTGGCTGGAAGGGACCTTTCTGGACTGGGGTGACTGTCAATCTATTCAGGGGTACTAATTGTTCCTTCTCTGCCTCTGAATTCAAAGAGAGCCTTGCTTCTCTGCTCAATTGCTTTGCTCAGTGTCTCTTTTGCTCACGCTTTGCTCAGTGGGTCTCTTTTCCTCTCTGAGTCTGCTGAGGTCTGTTGCTGAAAGCAGTCGGGTTTGTCAGTTTCCTGCTCGATCAGATCCATTGGAAGTGATTAAACTTCTATTCCTTCTAATAATGTGGCTGGGTGAGTTATTGAGACTAATCCATGAGAAAAGGGGTGAACTAATCCATGAGAATTTGAAGCTGTTCTTCTCTGTGAGTCCCTTCACTCCTGCTGTGCAGCTAGAGGAATTTTTAACCAAAAATCCAAAATGATGCAACAAGATCCACTAACTACATTTAATTGAAGATGGAATCAGCAGCCATTGGCCTAATCAAGTGCCTGCTGGGGGCCAATACTTTTGCAGGCAGGGGCAGTGGTTAAGTCTTGGGCTTTCTCTTTCTGCGGCTGCTGCTGACTATCGCAGCCTGCGCTCATCTGCACCAGCACTCTGCAGATGCTCTGGGGCACTCCCCTCACATCAGACCTCTGCTGCCCTTGCTCCTACTCTCTCTCTCTCTTTCTCACCTGACTCAGTGGGAGCAGGACTGATTGCGCTCAACATTTCCCTCTCTTTCTCATAGTCGCTGCGGCAGAGTAGCTGCCCTTCCTTGAGCACAAACTCATCACCACGCTGCAGCCGCCGCTCGCACTCGCAGCAGGAGAAGCAATGGACATGGTAGACATTCTCCAGCACTCGCATGATGAACTCGGATGGAGCCACAGCTTTAAGGCAGCCACTGCATTTGGTCTGGAAGAGCCTGAAAGAAAGAAAGAAAGCAAAGAAAGCAAAGAAAAAAAGCAAAGAAAGAAAGCAAAGCAAAGTTAAGTTAAGTTAAGTTAAGTTAAGTTGTTGGAGTTGGAAGAACATCTACAGTACTTTTAGATAAATGTATCTATGTTACCAGGTTAAGTTGTTGGAGTTGGAAGAACATCTACTTGTAGATAAGTGTATCTATGTTACCAGGCCACAAATCATTCTTATTAAGCTTGCTGCACCCACACCTGTCTCAGTCATACATAACATGCCAACAAGTATGGTGAAATTAAGTAATTTTTCCAGTTTCACTCCTCTGATTATCTAAAGGTTATTGTTACTCATTCTTATTGAACGCCCATTTCTCTACCTCAAATTGAGCACACAAAGTCAAATCTAAATTAATGTTGATGTGTATTTCTCTCCAAACATGCAATTCCTTTAAAGCTTCATGCTAAAGCAATCAGACTGGCAAATTAAGTCCATGTTTGCCTCTCAATTACCAATTGCAAACAAAAGCAAGCAAGTTTGCAACACACATAATGAGGCAGATTTGCACTTAAGGAAATGCTAAAGATGTGCTAAATATATAATCTAGTTCTGTCCTCAGGTGCCTATAGAGCAGCAGTCCCCAACCGTTTTGGGACTGTGGACCAGTTGGGGGGGTGCGCTCTGTGCGCGGAAGGGCAGGGGCACCTCTTTGGGACCGTGGACCAGTTGGGGGGGTGCGCTCTGTGTGCGGAAGGGCAGGGGCACCTCCGTGCTCATGGGGCGGGTGTTGCGCTCGCACACATGCACACAAGTATGACGTGCCCCTGCATGAGCACAACACGCCCCTGTGTGAGTGTGACACATCGCTGCACAAGTGTGACACCCACTGTGAGCGTGACATCCCCCGCATGAGCATGACACACCCATCGGGCGGGCGGGCAGGGGTGGAGATCCATTTCTGTGGCCCAGTTCTGGGCAGCCCATGGACTGAGCGTGACATCCCCCGCATGAGCATGACACGCCCATTGTGCGGGCGGGCAGGGGTGGAGATCCATCTCTGTGGCCCAGTTCTGGGCAGCCCATGGACTGGCACTGGACCGTGGACTGGGGGTTGGGGACCCCTGCTATAGAGGACTTTGGATGGTTTCAAAAGACAAATCTACAAATTCATGGATAATTTATTTATTAGTTACATATATATATATACCACTCATGTAGTAGCAAGCCACTATTCTGGGCAGTTCACAATGGAAAAACAACAACAACCTTCCCATTCCACATCCACTGAAAGTACAAACAATTCCCACAGGAACTACAAGGGCAACAGCTAAAATAATAACATGTGCAACTAAGATATAACACCTTAAATGGCAACTTGTAGCTATTGGTCAAACTGGCTATAGGTTCCAAGACTTTGCATTACAACAAGGATAGTTTGCAATAATACAATTTTTATGGAGAATCTGTTTTCTTCCCCAGGTACCTGAGGATTGTAGACAAGCTCAGAGAGGACTGGGTAGTCTGGAGGGGTGGCAAGTGGTGTCATGGTTCCTGTCAATGAGAAAGCCCTGAGACTTCAACCTGGTAAACTATGGTTACTCACACCACCCAAGAGACTCAGCAAGCAAGCAAGAGTGTCACCCCCCCTTTCTGTTTATTTTCCTATGCCAGTAGTTCCCAACCTTGGGCCCCCAGATGTTCTTAGACTACAACTCCCAGAAATCCTGGCCAGCATAGCTAGCAATCAAGGCTGCAGGAAATTTTAGCCCACCAGAAATCCTGGCCAGCATAGCTAGCAGTCAAGGCTGCAGGAAATTTTAGCCCAAGAACATCTGGGGACCCAAGGTTGGGAACCACTGTCCTATACAAATATTCCCTCCCTCCTCTTCTGCGTTTTATGGAGTGCAGGTTAGGAATACATGGTGATCTGAGGACCCAAGTTTGGGAACCACTGTCCTATACAAATGTTTCCTCCCTCCTCTTCTGTGTGTTATGGAGTGCAGGTTAGGAATACATGGTAAGCCTGAAACAATCTCTATTACTTTGTTTTAGGTTGAGAGCCAAATGTTTCTCAAACACCATAATTAATCATTTGCTGGCTTCTACCAAGGATTAATTTAAATTGATAATAGTAGAGTTATTACCTTACTGAGGTTCCTAAATAGTACCAACTCTTTCCCCTAATAAATCCTAACTGACAATTAGGATAAAGATAATTGGGAAAGATCAAAGCAAAGACCTTCAGGCTAGAGTCTGGCTTCTTCTCTGCATTCTAATAAAGATATAGTTAACGCCTCGACCAAGAACATCTGGGTGATATTACTGCATTTTCACCTTAAGCAGCATTGGAGGGCTGGGATGGAGACTCAAGTCATGAGATTCATTGTCAACTTGAGGGCTGGGATGGAGACTCAAGTCATGAGACCTATTGTTAACTTGGACTTAAGTCACACTGGTGAATTGACTTGGACTTAAAGGTAAAGGTAAAGGTTCCCCATGACAATTTTTGTCCAGTCGTGTTTGACTCTAGGGGGCGGTGCTCATCCCCGTTTCCAAGCCATAGAGCCAGCGTTTTGTCCAAAGACAAATCTTTCGTGGTCACATGGCCAGTGCGACTTAGATACGGAACACTGTTACCTTCCCACCAAGGTGGTCCCTATTTATCTACTCACATTTGCATGCTTTCCAACCGCTAGGTTGGCGGGAGCTGGGACAAGCGACAGGAGCTCACTCCGTCATGCAGATTCGATCTTACAGCTGAAGATCTACAGACCTTACAGCACAGAGGCTTCTGTGGTTTAACCGACAGCGCCAGCACATCCCACACAACGTCACCACATCCCACACAGCGCCACCACATCCCATCTGCGGTTTAACCCACAGCGCCACCAAGTTCCGACTTGGACTTGACTCATTTTTAAAAAATGACTTGGATTCAACTTGTGACTCAGAACCCACCCACATCCGCCCTTTTTTTTTCCTGGGGGAAAAAAAACTTGTTTTCAATGGGAACTCAGACTTAGGACGTGGGACTTACCAAAGACTCGGTGGGGGAAAAAAAACTTGTTTTCAATGGGAACTCAGACTTAGGACTTGTTACCAAAGACTCGAACTTGAATTTGGACCCAAAGACTTGCCACCATACCGTTTGGAGGGCAACCTTTGAGAAAAGGCAGTGGAAACAAATGTTGGGAACCAGTTATTTTTAAAGGGGAGTTGAAATCTGCTTGTTGGAGAAAACTGAGGAAGGTCTCCCAGCTGAAACATGATGATTAACTGGGAAAAAGTCCCTTTTAAGAAAATATACTGAGGTGTATAAGGGCTCATCTTTGCCCACTTGTTACTTGTATTTGCTTGGAATGGCTGCTCAGACTGCCACCAAACCCACAATGTATTGCTTTTCTCAAGAAGCCCGAATAAAATCCCCCCAGTGACTTCCAGCGAAATTTGACAGAAATGTATATCACATCCAAAGAAGGATCAAAGTGAAAGGAGCCAATGTGTCAGTTTTTAGAATGTTCAAGCTTGTCTTACATAGGGCTTTTTCAAAACACACACACGCACGCACGCACGCACGCACGCACGCACGCACGCACACACAAACACACACACACACACACACACACAC